TTWWYCYTAAAARGGCAATTCAGTTCACAGCTCTCTGGTCAACATAACATGACATGACAGCAATACATTCTCATACAGTCTTATACAATCATTTCAGCATCAGGAAAAGAGAGAAAAATACTGCTTATGTATAAAAAGAAATCATTACTTTCTACATAGTACAGCAGGTTACAACCTACTAACTATGGCAACTGCCGGTGGACCAAATCAAAYGGCTTGGAGGGCCAAATTTGGCCCGYGGGCCCCACTTTGGGCTCCTCKKRTTTAGATGATCTGAATAGCTCACTGTTKCTGATCTGACAGCCGTTTGAGTTACAGTTTTGTAAGGATCTACAATTGGGTTATTACCAAACCTTTTGAGGTATGTATTTATTGAGCAGGTGTGAGAGGTCCCAGTCAGAGCTATCCACTTGGGTTTGGATCACCAGGACAGATAGTGTCAGCTCTGATCAGGGCCTTTTATTCCTAAGACTGGAACCATGGTTGTTTATGGTTTCTAGGTTCGTATAGAAAATAAATGCCTACTGAGGGTCCAAGCAGACTGATCAAATGCCATAGTTTACATCACCTAGCTTTTGCAGTCAGAGCAGATAAGGAAATCATAAACAACCATCATTCCTGTCTAAGGACCAGAAAGTACCGCTCCATTGCCTTTCATTGAAAAGAGAGGCGCAGCCTTTCCTTTCAGCGTAAATATGTTTAATGTAAAAAAGGGGGTAAAAAGTGAGAGTGACGGTGAAACAGGACTGAACTTTATTGTGCATTAATAACACACTCACAGTGTGAAAGGCTTTGCGTGATCAGTGAGGCAGAGAGGCAGAGGTTAGACAGAAACTGTATTCTGTAGGTGTTCGTCGCTCTCTGCTCATGTGGAGTTAAGAGAAGAATCTCCTCTTTGCTCTCCACCTTTTTCCCCCTCGCTCTTTTGTTTCCCCAACCTCCTCCTTTGTTCTCTCCCTCCTTTGAGTCTCCTGCTAACAATGTGAGTGTTTGCTGCATGTTGCCATGGCTATTCTTGGAGCCCGATGCACTCTGTTACCTTCCTGTGAGACTAACTACCTCTGGGTGCTGTGTATATCTGTGTGTTGGTGGGTTTTTTGCATTTGAAAGAGAGAGGAAAAAAAGAAAGAAAGGTAGCATATTTTCCAGCACCCTGAGCATATTCTTGAATTTACATCTCGTTTCTTTCTCTTTTTGGCTTGTACGTGTCACGTTCAGGCCCCCAGCAGCCTCCTGGAGGCTTTGGAGCAGCACCTGGCCTCTCTGGAGGGCAAGAAGACAAAAGAGTTGAATGCAGATACCAGGTAGTTCAAATCCTTAAGGGGAACTCTGACTAGTGGTAACATTARGCATTATTTGATAAACATTTACTTTAACTATAAAAATGAAAATGCATTGTCACACGGACATGACTGTTATGTGCGCCGCAAAGAATTCTGGGTAAATGATGATGATTACGGGTGCTCCRGTGCGAGCTCARACCAGTTTGAATGTTAGTTTTGGRCAATGTCCAATGACTGACATTGGACATTGTGTCTATGCCTAGACACAGTGTCTGACATCCAGCYCTCTTAAATGAAACAAGAACACATTTGCAGAGAGGAGAATGTAGAAATGACTCGACTTGAAACTAAAAATGAGAACAACAGAGCTGCTTCATGGAGGGAGAACCTCAGCTTTAGCCTTTTATTTATTTTTTTAGTTCCTGAGCTAATATATAAATAGCTAATATAAACATAGCATAAAATGGCATTAGTAATATATACAGTATAGTGTTAGCTCCCAAGCTTGTAGACTTGGACTTTAGTTGCATGTTCTGATAAATCCATCTTAATAATTTACCAACTGGCTTCTAGGTGCCGCTTGTTTTTTCAGTGACACACAGAACCAGAAATTTTCACTACTCAAGCTCTGCAGCAAAACGTGCCCACTCAAGTGTGTTTCCCTAAATAATATTTAACCACTAGGGGGTGCACTGCAAAAACTGGAAACTCCTGAAATCTTTTGGATATTAGTGGAGGCATGATGATTAATTTTTTTTAGGCTTTTTAAGCTCAAAAATTGATGATCGTATTATACTTGAAATTGTATTATACATGAATAAATATGACGTATATAAAGTGATAAATGGCGTCAGTTCCTGAGCTAGGATACTAAACATGACGTTTGATCATTTCAACTCCATATTGTGCAGAAAATAAAATCTAACACAAAATATAACTCTGCTGGCACACATTATAGCTTTTTAGCCTCGACTCTGTGTTTTAGTCTCAACCAGAACTCATCATTATTCCCAGAATGCTTTGCATCAGTAACAATAAATGTAATAAAAATATACATTTTAAGTAATTAGATATGTTGCAATCAAGAACTGAGTAGAATAGAAAAATAATTTACTGAGACAACATATGACATCAGTCTGAGATGCCTTTTAATAATTCAAGATTATTCAATAAAAAATGTATTTTTTGAAGGATCTCCAAACAAACTGGAATGTTAATCAAGGTTTCTGTCCCRTCTACCGTCCTCCAGAGCGTCTACCTTATCGAACGCCGTCTCAACTCTGTCCTCCACCGGCATGTCGTTCAGCCGCATGGATGAGAAGGAGAAGCAGCAAGCGCTGGAGGAGGAGCAGGCCAGGCTGCAGGCTCTTAAGGTACCACATTTATACGCTGTCAGGCTTGTGGAGTGGGTGGTTGGACTGCGAGGAGTCGAGGAGTTTCTGCTGTGTCCTTCCTCAAGTGACTTCAAGTAGCATCTTGTGAGCTGGGTCATTAGGTTCTGTTCAGCTGCTTTAAGACACAACCAGCTGCTTCATTCTGAACAGGCTCATGACGGATTGGACAGGTTGTAAAAAAAGCTCTAAAAATAATAAGCGTGCGTCTAAAACCAATTAACTTTTGAAGTAAGCTTAATTAAAGATGGCTGCCACAGGAAAAGGACCTTAGCAAACATAAAAATTGAGTAACTCAATCATTTTACAGATATTAAGATAGTATTAGTAAATAGCTGAAAGTATCTCCAACTTGATCAGTACGCATTCTTTCAAGAAATGTTACTTGCCCCCCACCCACCCCCCTGGACACCATTAAAATCCTAAATCTGCCAACAAACCACTGTTAACATTGTTAACTCGATCTATACAAATTTATCAAATTTACATTTAATAATGAATTTAAATCAGTGGTGTACTAATACCAGCATTTTTACAAGTACCGTTATAAAATGACACAAAACTCAGAACTGACAGTAATATCAGTATCTGTACTAAATGTGTTACAGTGTACACTTCAAGTTAAACGTTTGTCAGCTCCTTGTTTAAAAAATGTATTCAAGTTGAAAGAAAAGCTTTTTTTTATTTATAGTAAATTGTTTGAACATTATATATTATGCTGTATATTCGATTTGATCAGATGGGCTGTAGGCCGATAAGGGAGGAGCAACACCTTGTTTAAAAAATAAAATGTGTTTTTAAAGTCATTATATAATGTTTAGGATCTAACTRAAGTACTTTAGAAGAACTGGTATCAGGACAGCCCTAATTAAAATACCCTGTTTGTTTTTGGTACAAATTCAGTGTTTTGCGTAAAAATTAAAAAGTTTTCTCATTTTACTGCTAATGAAAGTGGAGGTTTTACTTGTTTTTAAATTTGGTGTTAAAACAAGTGCCTCTCTATTCCAAATTTGAAAGTTTTCTTTTATARCACACAACCACAATTKACTGGCACSACATTTTACCAAACAGACAAATCACAAAAATGGCACCATTGTTGTTGATTTTAGCACATTTTTTATTTCACAAAAGAAATAGTGGGCAATTTTTTTTAAACTACTCTTAGTTTCTAAAAAACTCGTTTTGTCATCAATATGCTAAAAGCAGAGCCTTGAAACATCTCCGCTTTGGAAATAAATCATAAAAACATTTTTTYTCTCTCACAAAACACCATTTGCATGTGAATGAGAGGTGCAGATGTAGCAGAAAACATCTGTGGGGCTGAATGACTGTCTGTTTGAACAGAACTGCAAACACGCTTCGCTCAACAGATCTGAGCACGCCGCTGACGGGTCATCCTGGAACTAAGAGCTGAACTCTGGYGGAGGACGGGGGCCGAGGGCCTCCGCAGCGAGCCAAGTGATGGAAAAGTCAAGTGTAAAATGTGTTGAGCTTCGCTTTTTTTTWAACTCCAGCCCTGGGAGCCCTGCTTTACAGCAAACTGTAATTGAGTGGGAGCAGAGAAAATACAACTCAAGCACACAGTAGCTCAGTGTGTACACAAYTTCATGTTTATGTGCTCACGTCCCAACAGGGAAAAAAATAAAAATATACAGCTTGTGTCCAACAGTTCTTCTATATAAGCTTTGTCCAGCTTTATGTGAATCTGAACCCAACAATAATACACTATCAGTTCTTCCAGAGTTCTCCGTGYGTGCGTTTGATTGGATTTTACTGCGCTTTTTTAGTCTGCACCCTTGGTTGCCCCGTTCTCTGCCAAGGTCCACTGATTACCTTTGGGTTTAGTTAGAAAAAGGRGCGGCGAGATTAAGTGAGAGTGAGAACACGACGGAGTGAGAGAGCTGGAGGGGGGGTTAGGAGGGGTCRTCCAAAAACTCCCGTCCAGCTGTCTGCACGCTCTGGTGTCCATATGGACTCAACAGCACATACAAAAACACTTACACCACTCTGCTACTGTCCAGCTGGGGCCGTAGCCCAAACAATAACAGCACTTTCCTCTTGTTTTGTCCTCGCTACACTGTCGGAATAAAAATGAAGAGGAGCCGGTYGGCCCTGGCTGTCTTCGGCGGCAGATTGTTTTTACATCCGCTTCAAATCCTTTAAAGGTGTAAAGGTTGTAAAGTAACTTGGAACATTTCCTTACCTTTAAGCTCAGCGGTAAATTACCCCCCCCCCCCTTCCAATCTGACCATGTGTAAATAAAACAGATAAAAGAGCTCTGAGAAACTGTTTTCAGTCCCTCTGTGGCCATCCATACTAATAATCTGACTCACTGCTCTACCTGTCTACAAAACTCCTTTACCTTATTATACTGCCTTTTTTTAGTCTGACTGCAAATTCCCACAAGATAAAAAAAAGCAAGACAACTATAATGATCTCTGTAGAGCTAATAATTAGATTCAATGAGAGATATAGGCAGTAGAATGTGAAATAAAGCATTGAGAAGTAAATAATACAGCAGTGTTACCAGCTTCAACAGTAATGCATGGAGAAATTATATATATTTCTAATTCCATTTTAAGTTTTAAACGAATGCATAATCATTTTAAAGCTGTAGTTTAGATTTATTATCAGGTAATAACATCAGTTACCCTTTCATGAAAAGGTTTTCAGTTTTGCGGAAAGTTGTAATGAATATCGTACCCATTTTGGAGAAATGGCTTAAGTCAGCTAGTCGTGATTTTCTGCCGTTGCTTAACATCTCCAGTCTAAATATTTTATATCAGTTCTTTTAAATTCAGACTGTGATGTTATTCCAGCAGAAATACTATGATAGTCCTGCTTGAAGCACTGCCACTATATGTTCTTGCAAAAAAGCTCAGAATACTTGGTAAATAATCGTTTGTTAAAAGAAAAACTGAGGTAAWCAGGATTCCTACACAGTCTTGGAAAAAGTTGAAAATTAATTTGGYTTTATCCATCCATTATCTATACCTGTTTCTTCATTCAGGGTCACGGGGGTCACTGGTGCTCATATCCAACAGTCACAGTGCGAGGGGCGGGGTACACCCTGGACAGGTGGCAATCCATCACAGTCGCAAGTCCATCACAGTAATTTGGTTTTAGTATCTTCCAAATCTGGAAGRATATGAAGATTTTTTAACGATGGACACGGTCTTCTTTTATGGCATGGTGTCTCAGGTTACCCTTTCGTAAAAATGTTAGCTTGTGCATTTGTTGACATGTCTTTGGACAAGACATTTACCTTGTTTATTACCTTGTACCTGGATTTATCTACCAAGGCTGAACTTAGTCCAAAGCCCTGAGGTTTAGGAGCCAAAAGAATACTCTCTTTAATGAATGAACTCATTTTTTCTTATTCCCAATGAGGTACAAACTCACTGGGAAGAGTTTTTGTTGAAGCTTACATTGAGCTGCCTAATGTTTGTTTGGCTTATTGTGGGTTTCCTGTTTTGTTTAATATAGACTTTGACACTTTTAGGGCTGCCACGATTAGTCGACTAGTAACAATTATTGTCGACTATTAAAATCGCCAACTAATTTAATAGTTGATGTGTCGTTTTTTTTTTCTAACTTTGTTTTTCTCTCCAAACTGCTGCAGCACTTTCCACTGCCGCGTCTACCTTTCTGTCCTTGACACACAATGCGCAGTAGAGTGGTAATTAGGGCTGCCACAAACAATTATTTTTTATAGTCAACTAATCACCGATTAGTCTACTACAGTGATCCCTCGCTATAACGCGGTTCACCTTTCACGGTCTCGCTGCTTCATGGATTTTTTTTGTGCAGTTTTTTTTTTCACAGTGCATTGTGTTCTTCGTCACGGGGGCAGCAGGAGAGAGGGTACGGTGCGCGACGGTGTGTCTTCTGAACAAATGAAAATGATTTAACACAGTTGTTTATACTTTTAGCAGCTCTTTTTTTATTCCACAACTGACCTGCTAAAAATATCAAATTTTCTTTTCTGGATCTCTGACAGACGGACTTCAATCTCTAGACTCGTAAAGTTCTTTTTAATCATCGCTGTCATTTTTCATGAATGGACACTTCCTTGTATCTGAGGCAGGAAACACAGCCTTATAT